GGTAATAATTATTTGAATTTTCTTTTAATAAACAAGTCAGTTTATCATTTTCTGCCATTTGCTATTTGGCTTTTTAGATGATAATCAGACTCAATAGTTTGATGTACTCATAGAGTAGGACAGAATATATTTATTTAAAGGGAGCTTACCATAAATGATATGTGCTATGGACCTAACAGTTGTCAAACGACATGTTTTGCCCTGGAACATATTTTAGCAGTAAGGAACAAAAATAAGAGATAAAGCATTATAATGAGAAATTGGATAATCTGTTTCCATTATATATTTTATTTATTTTTAAATTACAAATAAAAATAAAAATAAAATCCATTAAACAGCAACCCACTATCTAAATCAATATCCCCAAATCCCAGAATAATTAATAGCCAATAATACCCTCTATCTCCATTATATACAACATAAATTTCAAAATTCCAGGAGGATCCTCCATTTGCAGAAGCATTTTCCCAGTTCACTCCAATTCTCTGTGCAAAATTTAAATATATAAATACCTGAAAAGGACTTGTTTTGTTAGCTTATCCTAACCTATGGGTTGTTGTAAGGATAGAATGAATGAAGGGGAACTATATATGTTGCTTAGAATGGAATATTTAAAGTAGGATTTGCAAATGTAATAATACTCAGTAATTTGGCAACCACTTTTTTTCTTCAAGTGAGAAAGCCTGTTTTAACTAACACAGCACATGGGATTCCTAATATGCTAAGGAATACTGGAATTTAAAACAGCAACAATCCAACATGCATCTGATGGTTACAGTGAAGAAGGTAATATTCCAAGACAAACATTATGTCCCATGTTTTTGAGTGGAATTTTCCAACTTCTTATAAATTTGGAAATACAAAGGATAAAGGAATCCGTCTTGCAGAAATGCAAAATGCTAGAAGCAGTAGACCTTATATTTTGGTACATCAATAGTCTGGTTGTGCTACATTCCTGACTTCTAAATAAACCACAGCTTCAAAATACAGACAAGCCTGTACAACAAACTTATTTTTCTATTATCTGTTTGCACCACACACCCAGCTATGTAATGTTAGATGTAAAAATATCCAGCTGAAATCTCTATGTGTATACATTTCAACACAGTCTTGAATTTACAATTCCTGTGAAATTATGGCAAATAATTTCAGTTATAGTATCCAACAATTATGATATCCAATTGTGAACAGAGTTTCTTAAGAATTTGTTTCACTGTCTGACAGTGGGCCAAAGTAAGAGGCAGCCAAAGGCAGAGAAAGTGATTAGGTTCTTCTGTATCTTAGTTCAGGAAAGAGCAGCAGGAATAATCTTGACCACCAAGCAGATTCTCAAGTAATTGCAGTAGAATAGAAAAGATTTCAGATTTCTGACTCTTGATGGTTTAACATTAGAAGCAATAAAATAATTGTCCTACAAATACTCATATTCCAAATTATATTGCTTAACTAAATATGAATAGGGTTCATGTTGAATTATTGCAAGCACTATTCATTTCCAATATTCAGAGCACAAATCTGATCTCAGAATTGTATGCCTTTTGCATCTGGCTTTAGTTGGTGAATTATAACAAAACTAGTTACAAAAGTTATAACAAAGTTATACAAAAGTTATAACAAAACATAAAACAAAACTAGACTTCATAAACAAGAAATATGTTTAGTTCTTTCTCATACATTATGGCTGCTGACACCCGCCATTATTGGAAGGTTAAACTATGTAGCTGCCGCACAATGGCTCATCTTCTGGACTGCACTCACAACAGAGGATATTTTCATCTCATTACTAATACTTTTCAAAACAGATTCCACCATCATAAGAATCTACTAAATTCTTCCATGCATCTTGATGCTCTACTTTACCAGGATAAGTTGATTCGAGCAGAACCAATCTTTATTTGGACTCCTGAGGGCATATTTCTAGAATATCTTTAGAGAAAAAAAAACTGGAAAAGAACCCTTGTTTTTATCTTCAATGTACGAACATGCATTTCTTGTATGAGATACAGGATAAAAGTGCAATAGGATGGAGGGAGAATTAGAATCTCAGATATCAGTATTTTAAAATTAAGTCCATGGTAATTTAACCATCTCACACTTTCAATTGGAAATAACAGCTATTTTCTCTGAATTCAGCTATTCTTCAGATAAGTTTCTTTTTGAAAAAGAACTTATTTTAAATAAAAAGAAGTATTCTATTTCCACAGAAATTGAAATATCTTTGCTCCAATATATATTTTCCTTTCCTCTACAGAGGCATCTTCAGGAGGAGTCAAGGGGGGTAAATGATAAAACAAGCATTGCATCAGTGTGACACAAACTGTTTTTTTTTTGTATGTTTGCACTGTGATTTCACACACATGTACAAAGGGGTGACACTTGCACTGTGACAGTGCGATGCTGTTTTCAAAAACTTGATGAAAGCATCAGACTATGGACACATGTATGAGAAACAGATCAGTGTTATCACCAAGGAGATGTATAGTAAGTATCTAATATCTGCAGGAAGAAAATTAGAAAGGCTGAAGAACAGAAGAGGTAACAAGCAAGTTAAACACAAAAATAGAGCCTCTTTGTTATTTCAGTAGTAAAAGAAAGAAAAAGGGATGGGGGGGGGCTGTTGCTAGGAGAAAATGGCAAGATAGTAACAGGTAATAGGGATAGGATAATGTTTTTCAGCTTTGCTTCAACCTTTTTCTCCAGTAGGGAACTGTGTTTAAATGGACTTAAGCAGAACAATTGACAAAAGAGCTAGTGGCAACCAAAAATAAGTAAATTGTTAAGAATTGGCTACTATGAACAAGTTTCAGTCTCCAGGATCAGACTAGTTATATCTAAGAGTCTTGAAGGAACTTGCAGGTATCATCTCTGAGCCCCTTTCTGTGATCTTCGAGAAATCATGGAGGATGGGTGCAATACCAGAGAATTGAAGAGGGAAAAAGAAAAAAAGGGAAAAAAAGAACCAAAGTAAGTGCAAACTGGTTATTCTGTTGTTGATACCAGGCATAACTCTGGAACAGATTATCAAGCAGTTGGTGTATGAATATTTAGAAAAGAATGTATTACTTGGCAGAAGACAGCAAAGGTTTATCAAGAAAAAATCATGCCAAACAAACATGATCTCTCTATCTCTCTCTGTAGTAAAATGACCAATTTAGGTGACCACAAGAATGTAGTCAACATGGTGTACCCTGACTTCAGGAAACCCTTTGGCAAAAGCTATCCTGGAATTCTAGGACAGAAAATAGCAAAATGTGAGCCAAACTATGCTACCATTAGATTGATACATAGCTGAACAATCATATCCAATGACTACATCAGTGAATGAACAAAAAGCTGAAAGGAAGTATCAAGTGGAGTAAGGTACTAAGCCTTGTACTCTTCAGTGTCTTTATAAATCATTTAAGTAAGAGATTAGAAAATTTTATTATCAAATGTTCAGACAACACAAAGTTAAGTAGAATAGTGAACATCTTAGATGACAGTATCAAGATTCAGGAGTATCTTGACAAGCTGGAACAATGAGCAGAAACCAACAGGATGAACAGGAACAAATACAGAGTATTCATTGGGGTAAGAAAAATCAGTTCACAAATATAGGAGGAAGAAGACCATATTGGACAGCAGCATATGAAAAGGATCTGGGTACCTTGATGGATTGTAAGTTGAATTTAGATCAACACTGTGATGAAGCTGCAAAAAAATAAAACATAAAACATAATCAAATACATTCCTAGACTTCACAAACAGAGTATTGTGTTAAGATCAAGAAGAATTGTTTTTCTTCTCTTACTGCATTGTCTGGATCACTGCTGGAATAACGTGCTCACATGTGGGCACTGCATTTTAGGAAGGACATTAATAAACTGAAGTATGTTCAGAGGAGAGCAGCCATGATGATAAAGGGCCTGGAAGGGAAAAAAAAGAGGAACAGTTGGTATTAGGTACATTTACTGTAGTCTGAAAAATCTCCATGGTAGCCTAGTAGCAAGTACTTGGCCCCCTCTGGATTGGTTCTGTGCATATCTTGGTTCCTTTGAGAAACGCTCTCTCTCTCTCTCTCTCATTCTCTCTCTCTCTCTCTCTCTCTCTCTCTCTCTCTGTGTGTGTGTGTGTGTGTGTGTGTGTGTAGTTGAAAACAGGCAGTTGGTCCCTTGAAGAAGGCAATAGAGTCCCCCTCTTGAAAAGGCCATTTCTTGGATCCAGCTGTTTTGGATGACTTCCAGTCTCCAATTTTCTCTTTCCCCAGAAGTTTACAGAGAAATCTAGATGAAGCAGATTTTTTGCATCATCTATAGTCAGGACTGTAGTCAGGATTCAAACCTTGGCACTCGACTTAAACTGCATGGGTCATTCTCATGGATGACTAATGACCTGGATGGAGGGAATACATCCCTCCTGGCTTCATTAAATCTTTTGGGATGAGGGCATTATTTTATGTTGGTTCCTAAGGGAGTGATTCCAGTTGGTGCTGATGGGGGAAGAATATGGTATAGTGGTTAAAGTGTTGGACTGGCATCAGGGAGTTCAAGACTACTCTTAGCCACAAAAGCTGACTCAGTAAATTTAGGCCAGTCACTTTTGCTATCCTGACCCACAGTTTGTTGTAAATGGAAGAAAGGAGCACTGTGTGCATCTCCTTGAGCTCCTAAACAAAAGCAGAGATATAAATAAATTTGAAGCATAATTTTAAAAAATTTCCCGGTTCCCAGTTATCTCTATGTGGGCTACATTCCTACTGAAGCAGCAATTCTACAATTTGGAGGTTCTTCTGGACTCAAAGCTTCTACTCAAGCAGAAGCCATGACCAGGGGAGTCTGCCCAGCTCTGGCTAGTATCTTAGATGTGGCCCTTTTGGAGTGAGCAGCCCTGAGGATGGTGAGCCATGCTTTTATCACCGCAGGAATAGACTACTATAACACTCTCTACAGAATCACCTTGGAAGATGATTCTGAAATTTCAGTTAGGCAAGAAGGTGGTGGCCCATCTGCTGGAGAGATCAGGCCTTTTCAGGAGTATAATATGTTCTGATTGCTGCACTGGCTACCACTAGGGTTTCCAGGTCCAATTCAAAATGTTGGTGCTCACCTACTGTATAAAGGTGCACAAAGCTTGGCATCTGCTTACCTTGCAAACTCTCTCTTCTGACAAAATTTAGAGAAAGGATGTTTAGGATCCCATTACAAGAAGTGAAGAGAGTTGGAGTCCATAAGTAATCCTTGCTAGTGGCCTCAACGTTGTGGAACAATGAGCCTCCCAAAAACTGAGTTTTAGTTGATACACACATTACTGATTTGTTTTGTTTTGTTTTGTTTTAAGATTTTGGAAAGACTGTTCTCCTTTAATGGGGTTTTGGTTCTGGGTTTTTGTTTTCTGGTTGTTTTAGATTGTTTCTATGTACTGCTTTTATATTCCATGGTAATGAATATTACAGTGGCTAACAGGGAGTGTGTGTTTTATGACTATTCTGACAGCAATATATAATTATAAGCAATAAATAAATGCATCTTGCAAGAACAGAATATTCCTTTTCAGAAACAAGATCTTTAACAATCTTTCCTAACCTATTGCTCTCCAGGTACGTTGCACAGTATCGTCCAAAATTCTCAGCCAGCAACAGCCTTGTTTATTGGGAATTCAAAGAATTGTAATTCATTCTATCTGAAAGACTTTTACTTCAGAAAAGGTTTTAGTTCAACTAACAGCCTTTTTATGACTTTCTCTTTTTTTTTCTGCTTTACAACAATTTTTAAAATATGGAGCAACTATATGTCATGCAAAATTCACAGCAGCTGTTACCATTCTGGGTAGGAAAATTTTCCAAGACCTCACTGTTGCTTATGAAATACAAACAACACTCTAGTCAATAATTTGCAATGATTTATATGTGAAGGAATAGCTTCAGATCTGCTGAACTCTCTGTGAACATCTGCTTGGTTTTCAATGTTACTTTTTCCTTATAATACAATGTTGTGTGTGCTTCCAGGGTTCCTTACCCCACTTAAGAGAAACATTCTTCAGTATAGAGAAAGTGCAGAAATGTCCATGTAGTCTGTGGCAAAATAGATATATAATATAGTAATGAAGTGTCTTCACAGCTCCCACCTCTTTTGTAGGGACAAAAAGGTAGGCACAGATGCAGGAAATTTGGAAGGGTGAAGAAACCCTTCTTTTAAAGTGTCATCCAGATATTCCTTCCAGGTGGGTAACTCTTAAGTAGGCATGGGATATTGTCTCTTAGCCAGAAACTGGTCCCCTGGTTTCAAATTGATGATGCAATCGCACACGTGATGGAAAGGCAAATGCAGCCACTCAATTCCCAAGACAATGTGTTCTTGCAAGGAAGCAGTCACACGGAGTGGTAAAAACTTTGTGCAATCTTGTACAGTCAGCTGCCATGGGTTATGTACTGCCACACTGGCCCTGCTTATAGCATCTGTCCTCTATTGTCTCTACCATCACTGGTTTTTTTGAGAGTCTGGGTGGGTAAACTTTTGGACTGTGGTCTCATCTGTGAAATTAGCAGTCACTCCTAAAAAGCAGAGAGTTGCACTTTCTGGCTTGAATCTTAACAAATAGGAACAATAAAGTGTGCTTATTCATTTTTTTTTATTTATTTATTCAATTTACATGGTCACTCATCTCAACAAGTGACTCTTGGCAGTGAGCAGAATTAAAATAAAATAAAAACATTTATAAGCATTACAAAAATAAAATACAAAGCAGCCAAAAAACAACAAACCCAAATCACTAATATAACCAAGAAGTGTGTCCCTGCATGCACTCAGGCACCAGGCCTGGGCACAGAACCAAGTCTTTAGGACCTTACAAAAGGCCAGAAGAGTCAGATTGTGCTTGCTTGTTTTCAGCCATCTGAATTCTCCTTAATTGTCTCAGGATCCCCCTTCAGACCTCTTGGGAGAAGAGCCTGTAAAGTTTCCTGACATCAAGGGCACTTGCTTGCTACGTAGCCTGTAGATCCACAAGTATGGCATTTCATAGCTGAATCATAGGCCTGAATTTTAGCTGTGCAACATCTGGTTATATGCTCTCCAGTAAAACTATGAATTTAGATCCCTCCCTTTTCTATTTCTATCCTGGTGATAGACATCTTTTGACTGCTCTAATTGGCCTATGTTCTCCAGCACTGGATTCCAAGGGGGTTATCAGGAGAGGGGCCATGGAAGAAGAAATGCTGTAAAACCCCTTCCCCTTGCCATTTCTCCCCTGCCTCAACTCTTCCAGTTCCCCATCTATTACCACACAATGTTAGAACACCTCCTGCACATTTCCTGGGGTGCCATATCTCATCAATTCATCTCTCTGTTCCTCAGCAAATGGTCAGAGCCAGATAATTGCATCTCACATCTCTGGCAAATAATTTAAATCCAATATGTATGCCTGCACTCTAGGCTGACCTTGCCTGAATTTCATAGCTAACAGTCAGGGGCTTTATAGATTCATCAAAGAAACCTCTAAATCATTGCATGAAGTTTTGATAATTATCCAGGACAGGTCATTGCCCTCAATGATGGGCATGCCCATCTGGCTGCCCCTTCTTTCTGCAAATGTAGCACTAAAATCACTTTGGAGCAATACATGGGAAACTTCACTAGTCAACTTGCCATTAACAGTTCACACTGAGTCATGAAGGTCACAAATTGGTCTTGGTCTCCTCCAAATGTTTCTGGCAAAGTCCCCTGAGAATGCAGAAATATTGGTTGTGGTGCAGGCTGCTGTGCTTTTGCTGCCTGAAGTAAGTTCTGTCCCAACTTGTGTCATGGCATTTTGCAAGTTCATTACAGTATTTATGAATCCACCTGTTTGCAGCAAGGTGCTCAGGGATAGGAGAGAGCCCTGAGGATTAGAAGCCATCTCTACTAACAAAGGCTAGACCTTCAACCTCTCTGGAAAGAGAATAAGAGGCTTGAAAGATTGATGCCAGCCCCACTAGGTAGACCAGACCAGGAAATCAACTCCACTAGAAGGCAGAAGCTACTTTCCTTGAGATTGACTAGAATAACAGAATTTTGCACGTCTGACTGTGTTGTACCTTTCCCCCTTCTAATACTCCAGTGAATTAGAAAGGGATCTGCCTGAGCCTGTTACCTTGTTGTTCTGGACATAAAAAAATGTTTCAGCCCCTTTTGCCTAGGTAATGGCTCTTGCATATTTCTGTCAAGATCATCTTCTGTAATTTCATACGTAGGTCTTCTTACATTAGGGAGCAGACATACCCAAATTCTAATTTAAACTCACAATATTTTAGGTATTTCTCTCAGTAAGCACAGAATCTGATCCACATTCAACATCAGACACTATTAAAGACATGATAGTCTATCCTTCATTGGGAGGAATTGAGCTTGGGCTGTGCAGCCCTCTATCAAGGATGCTGTAGCAACTTGCATTTCAGATCTTGTGTTGATCAGGGCTTGGAATTGATTATCTCCGCTGCCTCTGTATGATGCCTCTGTATGATGTGATTACTAATATTAAATCTAAGTACTTCAACTATATATGGCAGTGAGTAACTATGCAGCAGCATACTTTTTTTAAAAAAAAAAGGACATTTATATGACTCTAGATTTATTTCATCCTAATTAGTGTTACATATACTCTCTGAGCTCCAATTTAAACCTCATTTTATCAAATTGGCTCATTCCCTAGCAATTGATAGAGGAAGCTATAATAAAGTTTGTGCTGATTGGACTTAAATTAAGAAGAGTGTAACATACTGTAAATATTATGTAGGGTATGATAATGCTAGAAGGTGCATTTGCCAAAACAAAATGTACCCTGAGCATACTTTCAAAATTAAGTAATTCTGAAAAGATCCTATCTCCTGGAAGATTCAGTATTAAAATACTTAAGATGAAAACAATAAGAATAAAGAATAAGAATAAAATAT